TCGTCAGCTTTCTTGCTCCTCTGTTGCTGCTTGGCCTGCTGTGTTCATCCAGCTCTACACCTTGTTATAGGAGAAAGGACAGATAGGTTAGGGAGGCGGGGACGAGCTGGGCTGGTTTTGGGATGCGGTCGGGCAAGGGGAGATTTTTAAGCTTGTGAAGTCCACATTGATACCATTGGGCTGTAGGGTTCCCAAGCGAAATATAAGGTGCTGTTCCTGCAACCTTTGGGTGGCATTGTTATGGTATTGGAGGAGGCCCAGGATGGACGTGTCGTCCAAGGAGTGGGAGGGGGCAAGTGAACTGGTTCGCAACTGGGAAGTGCAGTCGTTTGTCGCGAACCGAGCGTAGGTGTTCCACAAAGCCATCTCCAAGCCTCCACTTGGTTTCCCCGATGTAGAGGAGGCCACATTGTGATCAGTGGATACAGTGTACCACATTGGCAGACGTGCAGGTGAACATCTGTTTTATGTGGAAGGTTTTATTGAGGCCTGGGATGGGGTGGGGTGGGGGTAGGTGTAGGGGCAGGTGTAGCACTTCCGGCGGTTGCAGGGAAAAGTGCCGGGTGTGGTGGGGCTGGTGGGGAGTGTGGAGCGGACAAGGGAGTCACAGAGAGAGTGGTCCCTCCAGAAGGCAGATAAGGGTGGGGAGGAAGAAATGTCCTTGGTCGTCACAGATGCTGCCAGACCTGCTGGGATTTTCCAGCTACTTTGTTTTATGTTCCAGATTTACAGCATCCAGCGTTCTTTCAGTTTTTAATAGAGGTTAGAGGTCGAACCCGCCCCATTTCCTGATTGGTCAGGTTGCCTGTCACGCCCCTCATTTAGATGGGGAACAATCATCTCCAGCCCCGCCCCTTGTTTGTTATTGGTCCTTGAACGCCATAACACAGGCGGGCTGAGATTGGAGCATGCGTGTCGCACGTGAGGGTCGTGATGAATTGTTTGTATGGCGTGTCCACAAACGGTGAGTGAAGGTTAAAGAGGAGGGCAGTTGTCGGCGCAGTCTTCGGATAAGAAGGTTTCATGATTTGCCTGTTTAGGTCTCAAGCCTCCAAACATCGTTTTTCTCGGGATAGGGTCTGGGCCCGAAACGTCAGTTTTCCTGCTGCTTGGCCTGCTGTGTTCATCCAGCTCTACACCTTGTTATCGTTTTTCCAAGAAGGCGATTTAAGCCGCATGGAGCCTCCGGCTTCTTCCCAGAAACAGGGCCGGGTTAACGGCTGGCGTTTGGGCGGCGGGAGTGCGCAGGCGCGGTTAGCGTTGCGACGGAGTTGAGGATAGAAACAGAAGTTGCTGCAAAATCTGAGCATCTCTGATTTCTCCTCACAGATACTGCCAGATCCAGCAACTTCTGTTTTTGTTACATTACTTACATTGCTCTCTGTATAAGTTAGAAAAACGAGAAATGAAATTAGAAAGACAAACATTACAGTCTTTATGTAAATGGCCTGCAGTAGATCGGCGCAGGGTTCTCTACATGTGGTCTGTCCAACCTCCCAAGCCAATAACCGCCCGCACTGGACCCAAGTCCAGTCAGCGACCCCGCTCTGCTTGGGCGTCCAACCCGCTTTACCTCAGGCGAAAGGGGTGGTAAAAAGAAAACGGGAAATGAACAGAATGAGCGGAGGTGCTGTAGTTGGAGCTTTCTACTTCACCTCCAACTTGAACGCTTTTATTTTGGAGATAGTAGGAACTGCAGATGCTGGAGAATCTGAGATAACAAGGTGTAGAGCTGGATGAACACAGCAGGCCAAGCAGTATCAGAGGAGCAGGAAAGCTGACGTTTCGGGCCTAGACCCTTCTTCAGAAATTTTATTTTGATTTGGTTTGCTTTAACAATGTTGTCTCTCACTGAAACAGAAGCATACAGTGCTGCAGATTTTGCTTTAACAATAAAATGAAGTTCATTAGCAAAAGGGATGATTATAAAATAGAATAAACCAAACCATTTACTAAATACAGATTCAAAACTTTATTTTTAAAAGCCCAGGAAATGTATAACTCTCAAATCCCAAAATCTCTTATAAATTGGAAAGGAACAAAACAGTTTCTTATACATTACCCAACACACCACTCGTTGAATCATAGAAACTAGGAGCAGGAGTAGGCCCTTCATCCTTTGACCTTGGTCCTGTATTCATTATGATCATGACTGACCCTCCTCTCAGTACCCCACTCCTGCTTTTGCCCTGCACTACTTGATGCCTTCGAAATCTTTAAAAAAATCTCTTTCTTGAGTATGTTCAGTTACTTGGCTTCGCAGCCTTCTGCGAGAGAGAATTCCGCAGTTGGACTACCCTTTTAGTAAATTAATAACTTATCTCAGTCTGAAATGGCCTACCCTGTATCCTAAGGCATGTGCAGTACTCACACCAGAGTACTTGTGTCTTTTCAACTTGCTAGGTTTAACACACCTGTGGCTTTAGCTTTTGGACTGGAACTGTGAGCTTCTCCTTGGAGCTATTATATATCTAGCCTTAAATATACTCGGCTTTAAATAACCATTTCAGGGTTTAATCACCACACTTCTTCTGGTGTGGGACAAACACTAACTGCTCGTTCTAAGGTAACCTAGTTCACTATATCCCCTCCCCTATTCAGAGCGCTGTTCTGCACAGCCATCCTCTTCCAACAACCTCACAGGTCTGATCAAAACAAAGTAAAACTGAAACCTAAAGTCTCCCTTTCTAAGCTATGGGCACTTCCCTGAAATGTTGAGGGGAAAAAAAAAATGTTCTGGAAGCTTCTACCAAATGTTGAGGCTCTATTATTTTCCTTATTGGACCACAAAACTATCTAAAACTAACGAAACATCCATTAATAGTGCATACAACATATTCAGTTTACTGAGATAACACGGTGTGGAGCTGGATGAACACAGCAGGCCAAGCAGCAAAGCTGACGTTTCGGGTCGGGACCCTTCTTCAAATTTTCTGAAGAAGGGTCCTGACCTGAAATGTCAGCTTTCCTGCTTCTCTGATGCTGTCTGGCCTGCTGTGTTCATCCAGCTCCACACCTTGTTATCTTAGACTCCAGCATCGGCAGTTCTTACTCTCATATTTAGTTTACTGTTAGGCCTCAATAAACAGGAACAGGCACTTTCAAAAGGAAATTGGATCAGCGCTTGAAGGAAAGAACTTGCAGGCCGAGGGGGAAACAGCAGTAGGTGGGCGGAGTTTGAAATTCAAACAAGTCACTTTGCTGCAGTTAGGTCACCATGACAGCAGTGATAAAACATTCTGTTCCACTTTTGCATTCCATTGACTCGTTGGAAACTAGGATGAAATCTTAAGGTCATTGGAAAGTGAAGAAATGAAGTCATGAGGAGAAAGTGAGTGGTTAATATCTGGAATGTGCTGTCTGAGAGGGTGGTAGAGGTAGATTCAATCGAAACATTGAAGAGGAAATTGTTTTATTACCTGAGAAGGAAGAAGCTGGGGGAATATCATTTGTTACAGGAAGAAGCTGAGAGATTAAGGCTTGCTGAATTGATGATTCAGGCACCACCACCATTTTGCTCCCCTCCCCAGTAACAAACTCCCCGATGCAGGCAGTTAATTGGTACCAATACCTTTTTTTTTTTCCCCATCCCACCCTCTGGATCTTATTGCTGCCACAGCGGGGACATTGTAAAATGGAGTTTGGTGCTTCTTCAGCATTTCCCTATAGCTGACACAGTGCAATTTTTGTTTTGCAGCCTCTAAGCTGAATGGCCTGAGTAGTTGGAGTCATGGAGACCCACAGCATGGAGACAGGTGTTTTGGCCCAAACTGGTCTATGCCAACCGAAATGTCCATCCATGCTAACCCCATTTCTCTGTGCTTGGCCCATATCCTTCTAAAACGTTCCTATCCATGTATTTGTTGCTTGGCTTGTTTGGGCCCAACGCCTTCTGGAAAGTAGTAAGTGTGAAAATATTGCTCCCTCCGTTGAGGTTTGTGACTCTGTCTCTCTCTGTGTTGTATCTGCTAGGAGGGGCTGTCCTCACAGTCATCCTCTGTCCAGTCCGATTGCTAGGCTTCACTTCAGAGCCCTTCACCTGCTGATCTTGTCCTCCGACATCTTTGTGCTGCTAGCCACCATTTCCCTGGGTGTGGCCACCACCTGCCTCGAGGTGTGAATATCACCAGCAGCATGGGAAAGACTGGCCAGGAAACAATACCATTTAAAAACTAGCACCATTGTTTACTATAAATCATGTACAGAAGTATCTCGAGGGCAGAATGGCCTCCTCCTGTATTGCAATGACCTTTTTTTAAAAAAAGATGTCATACATGTTTTTCTTTATTCTGGCATATAACACACAATAAAACAGGGAATTTCTAGACAGACCCTGCAAGAGTGGCACAGTAGCTCGGTGGTCAGAACTGCTGCCTTACAGCACCACAAACCTGGGTTTGATTCCACCCTCGGGCAACTGTGTGTGTGGAGTTTTCACATTCACCCGGTGTCTGTATGGGTTTCATTTTCTTTTCTTCATCTGTGTAGGTTTCCTCTGGGTGCCCCAGTTTCCTCCCACAGTCCAGTGATGTGCATTGGCCAAGCTAAATGGCCAGTTGTGTCCAGGGAGGTGCAGGCTAGGTGGATTAGCCATGGAAATGCAGACTACGGGAAGTAGGGTAACAAGTGGGTCTGGGTGGGACGCTCTTTGGAGGGGTTGATACAGACTCGATGGGCTGAATGGCCTGCTTCCACACTCTAGGGATTCTATGAAGTCTTTCTTCATCTGGGGATTAAATGCCAATAGTATACTTCTACCTGCGGTTAACAGGCTCATGTGAACTCCTCCGTCTGCTATTTTAATGCAGACTTTATTTATTTTAAGAGTTAGCACCAGCCTTAAAGTGGTGGTTACTTTGTAACAGCTACAGTCAGTTTCAGACTGGAAATTTAAATCTGTTGTTTTCCTTTTGGTCAGGACCAGATCACAGTTTGAAACCAATCCATGATTTGACAGTACGTTTTGTTGCTCTTCCTGACTCTTAAACAAAACGATAACCCCGTTTTTGTTCTGTGTCTGGAAACTGGAAACATTGAAAAGTGCAGCTGGGAAACGTTTCTTACACACCTCAGGATTAACCCACATGGGGACTTTGCTGTCAGAGAAGAGAGATGAGAAAGATCAAAGTGCTATTGGTCTCCCTCAGTGAGCTCTGAAGGACTGTGTCCAGGCTGAAGTTCTGCTCCTGCCAATGATCCCTCCCCAGATTATCCTTTGAGCTCCAGCAGGTGATGTTAAACACTCGGATGGGAAAGAAAAATCCACAGCAATATGTTTCAGTAAAGCTGAATTATTAACCATGTATTAAAAAATCAAGTTGCAGCTCAGTGGAATGTCCAGCTTTTGCTCTGATGTCCTATGTCATTTATGCATCACCCAGGCCCTGTCGTGACATCAAGACCAGAAAAGGTTGTAAGGAAAACCATCAGTACTCAACTCCCCATCGTCTTTTGAAAAGATGTGTTTTCCAGGAATTAATTTCCATCAATCCCATCTCCCAAAAAGCTTTCCTTATCTTTTTTTTTTTTTCTCAAGACTGAAAGTGAAATGATCTTAGCAGGTAAAACACAACAGACTTTAAATCTGACCTCATTTTTCAAATAAATAACTGTTAAAAACCCTTTACATTCCACAGTGTCCAAACAGTTCTATATCTTCCTATTTTACACATAGATATGAATTTTATTCCCAACACGGTCCACGGTGCTCGAGGGCAATTCCACCAATCACAGTGACACTTACCAATCAGGACTAACAAACCAATTGTCTTCCTGATTACTTGCTTTACCTACATACTACTTTACATGATCCAAGGACACCCAGGTCCCTTTGCAATGCAGCATTCTGCTGTCTCCTCCACTGAAGGACTATTCTGCATTTCCATACTTCTTGCCAGAGTGGACATCCACACATTTTCTCACGATTAATCTTGATCTGTAATTTTGTTTTCCCCAATACCCTTCTTGCTTTGCAGGTTCAGTCTAACCTCCTCACAGCTTGCTCAACAAATTTATTTACAATACAGTTGACTCCTTCATCCAAGTCAGTTGTATAGATAACAAATAGTTGAAGTCCCAGGAGTGATTTATGATATGCCACAAGTTAAAGTTTGCCAACCTGTAAACTAATCATTTATCCTAACTATCACGCTGCTGTTAGTGAGTGAACCCACTGCCATGCTAACTGCCAACACCATGAGATCTTTCTTTGCACGGAAACCTTTAACCTGGCATCTTATTGAATGCTGGTTGGAAATCCAAATACACAACATCTCGTCTTCTTCCTCCACTCTCCTTGTCACATCCTCTAAGAGGTCAAAGCTCCTCACTCTCTTGTTGAAGGAGACTGAGGACAAGGAAAGCCTTTCACAAGGCAGTAACTTATGTGAGAGATTATTATTGTCTGGATCCTTGTACACAAATCACAGAAAGCTAATGCGATGATGTCACCAAATATTCGGAGGTTAACTGATGGGTTGCTAGTTATTACTAGGGGGTGGGACTAGGGACGTGAGGAAGTCTAACTGATTGTACAGGGGACATGGTCACCATGAACCAACTCAAAAAGGTTAACGGATGAATGTTGCAATTTACAGCTATTCCAGGAGAGGAGAGAAGAACAGACGGTCACATACGTGCTGATCAAGGGACACAGAGTGACCGAAGGATTGTTTGGATTTCCAACAGGCATCAGTTCAGGTCAGTCTTTGATTTAAAAATTGAACTTTTTTCTGAAAATAGTTTGGAAGGCAAATCGTGAAGAGGATAGAAAGGTATTCAAATTGACTGCTGAAGAGATGATCAGTGAGCGGGCAGAAGTGTCTAATATGGTATAAAGTAGTTGATTAGAGTGTTATGTTTGTCAGGAAGAATCGATAAAGAGCCTTCAATTTATACAAGGAGTTGTTGCAGGACGCCGACACAGAGATCTGGGTGTCCTGGGTTATGAATCAGAGTTTCTGTCGGGGCAGCAAGTGGTTATGTAAGCAAAGGGGTTGTCTTTTTATTTTCATTTGTTCATGGGATGAGAGCATCACTGGCTGCGCCAGCATTTATCCCCCATTCCTATTAGCCCTTGAAATTGTAATAGTGAGCTGCCTCATTGAACCTACACTCCCCCCAAAAAAACTTTTTGGAGAAACAGAATGGAACAGAAATTAAACTGCTAATTTCTCTCTTGTTGCTCCCAGTTTAACATTGAATCATTCAGTTTCTACTAAGTTAGAGGCTGGAATCTCATTAGTCTCATAACACAACGGGGAATGAGTTACAGTCTGAAATGTAATCAAGGGATTTGGGTAATTTATATACAGATTAACAAGTAGTAGGCAGTGAGTTAAAACATGGAATCTAGTTGAGGGATTTGAGATGGTTGATGCCCAGAGTTACAGATACCCAGGAATGAGTTATAGACTAGAATCTAATTGAGGGGGTTCAGGATGGTTTATACGTGGAATAACAGATACCCCAGAGTGAGTTACAGATTAGAATCTGAGGGGATTGAGGTGGTTTATATATAGAGTACAGATACACAGGAGTGAGTTACGTACTGGAATCTAATTGAAGGTTGCAGAATGGCTTATATATAGAATAAAAGAAACCCAGGACTGAATTACAAACTTTAGTCTAATCGAGGGGTTCAGGGTGGTTTATGTTGAGTCACAGATACATGGGAGTGAGTTACAGGTTGGAATCTTATTGTTGTGTTCCGTGTGGTTTTTAATGTAAAGTAATACATAAACTGGAGATAGTTAGAGACAGTAATCAAACCGAAGGGTTCGTGGTGGTTTAAAAACTGGGGGCTAACTTAAGAGGTATAAAGTGTGGTGGGTGTAATTGAAAGGGGACAAAAATGGGAGGGTGTGCAATGGAAGGAGTGGCAGCACAAAATATAAGGTGGGTGTAAATTGGAAACAGGCACTAAAATGGGGCAGGGACAATATTTAGGGAAGGTCAAAGATTTCGAGTGCCATATCTGAGGGCAGGGGAAGACAACATTTAGAGTCATAGAAATATGCAGCATGGAAGCAGACCCTTCGGTCCAACTCGTCCATGCTGACTAGATATCCTAAATAAATCTAGTTTCATTTGCCAGCAGTTGGCCCATACCCTCTAAACCCTTCCTATTCATATCCCCATCCAGATGCCTTTTAAATGTTGTAATTGTATGAGCCTCCACCACTTCCTCTGACAGCTCATTCCATACACGCACCACTGTCTGTGTGGAAAAAGTTGCCCCTTAGGTCCCTTTTAAATCTTTTCCCTCTCACCTGTAACCCAAGCCCCTGAGTTCTGGACTCCCCCACCCCAGGGAAAAGACCTTGACTATTTACCCTATGTATGCCCTTCATGATTTTATTAACCTCTATAAAGTCACCCCTCAGCTTCTGACACTCCAGAGAAAACAGCCGCAAGTCTGTTCAGCCTCTGCCTATAGGTCAAACCCTCTAACCCTGGCTTCATCCTTGTAAATCTTTTCTGAACCCTTTCAAGTTTCACAACATCCTTCCTTTAGCAGGGATACCAGAATTGCATGCAGTACTCCAAAATGCATGCAGTATTCCAATAGTGGCCTAACCAATGTCCTGTACAGCCACAATATGGCCTCCCAATTTCCATTCTCGATGCACTGATCAATAAAGGCAAGCATACCAAATGCCGCCTTCACTTTTCTGTCTACCTGCAACTCACGTTTCAAGGATCCATGAACCTGCACTTCAAGATCTTTTTGTTCAGCAATACTCCAGGACCTTACCATTAAGTGTGTAACCCCTGCCCCGATTTTCCTTTGCAAAATGCAGCACCTCACATTTTATCTGAATTAAACTCTACCTGCCACACCTCAGCCCACTGGCCCATCTGATCAAGATTCCTCTTGTACTCTAAGGTAACCTTCTTCGCCGTCTACTACACTTCCAATTTTGGTGCAAACGTACTAACCATACCTCCTATGTTCACATCCAAATCATTAATGTTAATAACAAAAAGTAGTGGACCCTGCGCCAATCCTTGTGGCACACCACTGGTCACAGGCCCCACACCTCCAGTCTGAAAAGCAACTCCCCACCACCACCCTGTCTTCTACCTTCAAGCCAGTTCTGTATCCAAATGGCTAGTTCTCCCTTATTCCATGTGATCTAACCTTGCCAACCAGTCGACCATGAGGAACCTTGCTGAATGCCTTACTGAAGTCCACATAGCTCACGTCCACTGCTCTGCCTTCATCAGTCCTCTTCGTTACTTCTTCAAAAAACGCAATCAAGTTTGTGAAACAATTTCCCCCACACAAAACCATGTTGCCTATCCCTAATCAGTCCTTGCCTTTCCAAATACATGTAAATCCTGTCCCTCAGCATTCCCTCCAACAACTTGCCCACCACCAATGCCAGGCTGACTGGTCTATAGTTGCCTGGCTTCTTCCTTACTACAGTTCTTCAATAGTGGCACCACATTAGCCAACCTCCAGTCTTCCAGCACCTCACCTGTGGCTATCAACGATACAAATATTGCAGCAAGGGGCATAGCAATCACTTCTCTAGCTTCCCAGAGTTCTAGGGTGCACCTGATCAGGTCCCGGAGTTTTATCTACCTTTATGCGATTTAAGATGGCCAGCGTCGCCTCTGTAATACGGATATTTTTCAAGATGTTGCTATATATTGCCCTACGTTCTACATTTTCCACATTCTTTTCCACAGTAAACAGTGAAGTAAAATACTCATTTAGTGTCTTCCCCCATCTCCTGTGGTTCCACACATAGGCAGCCTTGCTGATCTTTAAAGGAGCTCTGTTCTCTCCCTCGTCACCCTTTTGTCCTTAATGTATTTGTAGAATCCCTTTGGATTCTCCTTAATCCTATTTGTTAATGCAAAATTTCAGGACATGACAATAGAGGGAACTTTGGACTGGCAAAATATTTGGTGCTTGCAAATTATGCCGAGTACAAAATTGTTGGTGGGGTGGGGGGGGGGGTGTTCGTGTGCAGCTGCGTAAACGGGGAAACATGCAATATTAGGGGAGGTGCATAATTTAGGTGAGCATAAAATGGGGATGTTGTGGAGAGGCTGCATAACTCATTGGAGGGGGTCTGTCAGTGGATGAGTGCAATATCTTGGGGCCAATATATTGGATGCAAAATTTAGCAGGGCACAAACCTTGGTGGTGGGCAAAGTTTGGGGAAGGGTGAAAACTGTTGGGGTCTCCCAGAATTGTGGGTGTTGTATAATTGGGGTGGGTGAAGATGTGGTGGGGTGAAAAATGAGGCAGTGCATAATTTGGAGGGACAAAATGATGGGAGCTGCAGGAGCAAACAATATCGGAGTAAAACTGGAGAAGTCAGTGCAAGATTGGGGGGGGACACAACTCAGGCTAAAATTGATGGTGTGAAAAATCAGAGGATGGGGCAAACTATCTGGGGCACAGTCTGAGGGGCCACAATATGTTAAGGGGCAAAAATTTGGGTGGTGTGGCGTGCACAGTTTTTGGTGGTGCAATGTCTGGGTGTGGGGCACAGTTTTGGGGATTGCAAAATGGGGTGTCTATTTTTTGGAAGGAATGCAAAACACGGGAGTGGGGTCACAGCAAGATTGAGGTTTGCTAAATTGGGAGGGGGCTACACAAACTGGGGAGGGAACAAACTTACGGAATGTTCAGAAGTTTGCAGGGGTACAAAATTTTGAGAGAGAATGCAATATTGTGGACTACAAAATTTGGTGCAAAGAACCTTTGGGGATGGACTGCTTTATTTTGGGTGTGTATAATTTGTGGAGGGCCTGCAAAACAAGATGGAGGGAATGTGGCGAGGTGGGGGAAACACAAAAAGTGGGAAAGAACAGAGACAAAGGCAGAAGGAAGAGGTAAGTGTCAGAAATTTTAAAAAAAAGAGAAAAAAGAATGTAAGAAAAGGGGAATGAAAGAGGTAACAAAGGCAGACGGGGAGCGAGGCAGAAAGAGAAGAGTGAAAGCAAATAAAACATCTCCGGGAGAGAGATGGGAGTTAGGCAAGTCATTGTAAAGCTCAGCAGGTCTGGCAGCATCTGTGAAGAAAAAATCAGAGTTAACGTTTCAAGTCCGGTGACCCTTCCTCAGAACACATTCTGACGAAGGGTTACTGGACCTGAAATGTTAACTCTGATTTTTTTTTTCTCCACAGATGCTGCTAGACCTGCTGAGCTTTTCCAGCAACTTCTGTTTTTGTTCCTGATTTACACCGTACGCAGTTCTTTTGGTTTTTATTCAGATTGTGAATTAGTTGTGTGAAGCGATAGGACTAAGTCAAGACCTTTTGAACAGTTGAAAGTTCGCTCGGCACAGCAGCCACATGACCTGAGAGACAGACCTCTGAGAGTGGCCACCACGGGCAGGATGTGACTGAAAGCCTGGCTCATGTAACTGTTGTTGAATAAAAGATAATAAACCTTTTTCTGAATTGTACCTAGGAGTAGAGCTGGATGAACACAGCAGGCCAAGCAGCATCACGGGAGCAGGAAGGCTGACGTTTCGGGCCTAGACATTTCTGATGAGGGGTCTAGGCCCGATAATGCTGCTTGACCTGCTGTGTTCATCCAGCTCTACACCTTGTTATCTCAGATTTTCCAGCATCTGCAGTTCCTACTATCTCTGAATTGTACCTGCTGGTTCTGGAATGTAAATCATTGGATGTGAAATTATTTAATTTTCACTACAGTAAAGGATAAGCATAAAGTTTAAAAATTATGATTGGAAGAAAATGTCCACAGACTGTGGGAGGAGAGGATGAGAGAGCAAGAGACAGATCAGCTTTTATAAATAGTCTGTCTGGATGCGAATTTTTTTGAGGGTCCACAGTGTTAATTCTTTGAGGTCTGACTCATGGGTTTTTGTTCGTTGGCTGCTAAAATGCTGTCGTGTCATTTGTGTGATTTTCCTCTCTGGGGAGGCTTACAGTTTAGATTATATTTTGAGTGTATGATGATGTGACAGTATAGTGTGTGCTTGGAGCAGTTTGGAACATATATGATTGAGTTGACATCCCTTTTAAAGAATAGTCAGTGGTTATTTAGAAGGAGCCTGCTAAATGATGTTTATTTGGAATTAGTGTCTTAAGGGCTTGATGAAAATCAGTCATCCGAAACCAATTGAAGGAAGGGAATTATGATAAATGGCATAACATATTTCATCAAAATGCTCCACTGTGTAGTGTATTTAGTTTGAGGAAAGAGTCCTGGGTAAAGGTGAATTTCAAAACCTTTGTGATTAAATTATTGTGTTTGGAATTTCATTTTCTGGCCACAGTGAAGTTCCAAATACTACTGTAATATTTAAGTCAATCTTCATTTCTAGATTCTAAGGTTTCCTCATCTTACATGTTTATTGGTGTGAATTTATGCTCTAAAATGAGAAAGTGGGAATTTTAGACAAATAATTCTGTTCAAAGAGAATTATCCGATGACAAAAATCAAATCATGTCACACAGAACAGACAGCACCTGGGACAGTTATATTGCAAGACGAGGTCGGTTTTATTTTCTATTGATTTGTGGGATGTGGGCATCGATGACTGGCCAGCATTTGTTGCCTGTCCCTCGTTGCCCTTGAGAAGGTGGTGGTGAGCTGCCTTCTTGAACTGCTGCAGTCCACCAGCTGTAGGTTGGCCCACAATGTCATTAGGGAAGGAATTCCAGGATTTTGACCCAGCAACAGTGAAGGAACGGCGATATATTTCCATGTCAGGATGGTGAGTGACTTGGAGGTGGTGGTGCTCCCATATGTCTGCTGCCCTTGTCCTTCTAGATGGAAGTCGTTGTGGGTTTGCAAGGTGCTGTCTGAGGATCTTTGGTGAATTTCTGCAGTGCATTTTGTAAATAATACACCCTGCTGCTACTGAGCGTTGGTGATGGAGGGAATGGATGCTTGTGGATGTAGTGCCAGTCAAGCGGGCTGCTTTGCCCTGGATGGTGTCAAGCTTCTTGAGTGTTGTCGGGGCTGCACTCATCCAGGCAAGTGGGGAGTGTTCTATCACACTCCTGACTTGTGCCATGTAAATGGTGGACAGGCTTTGAGGAGTCAGGAGGTGAGTTACTCGCTGCAGTATTCCTAGCTTCTGCCCCAGTTAAACTTGAGAATGTAGCTGCCAATGTTTCCCTAAATGTTCCAGCCCTGTGTAGTGAAACAACACAAGTGTATAATGTCACCCAGGAGCTACAAAGCACAGACAAAGGATTATGACCTTAGGCACCATTCGGGAAAAGATTAAAATGTCCCTTTACCCCCCCAGTGAAGTTAAAAGAAGCCCTCTGTGAAAATTGAATTGTGTTCACACAGCATTTCTGTGACAGTTACAATGAAAACATTCTCAACATTTTGACTGACATCAATGTTAAAACAAGGAGTATTCTGAAAACGTTACAGGTTCAAGACTTTCAAATCTTCTTTCATTGAAAAGTCTCAAAAATGTTCTTTTTTAAACTCCTGTAGACAAGATGTGGGAATAAAAATAAAAGGCTTAGCTTGTTC